CCCCCCCTCAAATGAAGGCAGCACAAACAGGGAAACACATGTACACAGGTCTATGTGTTGCTATTAGTTGCCAGGGCCAACGTGAAGCTAAACACAAAACAACATTTGTCACAGTGCTATCGTCATTCCTTTGCTATATATATTTAGTGAACACAGGGAATGGTTGTTTTACAGATCAAATGCATAGTAAATACAAAAAGGAAAAAGTCCAACATAGAACATAAACAACATATTTTGCTTAAATTATTTGAATTTCAAAAGCCGACATTCTTACTTGATGACTTTATTTTCTGAAATGATAGGTAAAAATGAAATGAGATTTGTTATAACTGAACCTTTATACCTTATTATTTTGTATTCATTATATATTTCTTATTGAAATGTATTGAACATATCTTGTACAGTTCAACATTATCCACACCAGACACTCCAACTACAACAGATAATACCATAAATATAACTACCCATTGGTTTTCCTTTAAATATGTATTAATTGACATGTGTGGTTGTGTGTCTGTGTTTTGTCAGTGTGAAGACGGACGTCCTCTCTCCTCAAGGGACAGAGCGAACCTGCAGGAGCTGGAGGGCAAACTGCAGGTCCTCCGGCGCAGGGGGAGACACCTTGACATCGCAGAGAGGAACTGCTGCACTAAAGTGGGCAGTGCTCTCAGACCTTTGAAGGTGAGTCTACATAATGAAATTGGGTCCATTTAACAGAAGTGAAATATATTTCTTGTATGAACTGTATTTTATTGTCTGCACATGAATATTGGATGCACTTTATGTGTTGTTGCCTTGTTTTAATTGGCACTGTTGTGTTATTGATCAGAGGTAGGTTAAGGCTGCACAATAAACCAAAGCTAATGTTGTGTTTCTTCACTATAGTTGTGTAATTTAAGGATTCATGTTAAGCCACGTATCATGCCGTTGTTCGTTTTTCCGCCAACTTCAAAATCTTCCTCCTTAACTTCTTCTTTGTGCTCAAGTTCTAACCTGGACTGCTCTAGATTCACTTTTAGTTCTACTTTACACAACCGCATATTTACACGATTCCCACGGGTAGTCTCCTCACCTAATTTACTCTGAAGTCTCTCAGGGAGTCTCACATTTCACAGGCGAGATCTCACGGTTCCCCTGGGATCATCCAAAACAACTTTTTTGGGTTGGGCCAACCCATACTTGGACCTTTTTATAAATGCAATTTGAATATCATTGTGCCCATATTTAAAAGTTGCAAAAGGGGGTGGGATAGGAGCTGGTTTATAACAACACTTGCTTTAAAGTTAAAAAGCAGTACTACCTTCATATCTATATCCGCTGGCCTAGTCCAGGCAAAAATCCTTTCAGCATATTTCATATTGATCAAGTTTATTCTGATATTTTATACAGTTTCTTGCAGTAGTTAGTGCATCTTTAAACATCTAGATTGTAGAACAGGTACATCCTAGAGACTCGTTAAACAGAGCCAATTTGCAAAGTACTGTAAAAGAAGAAATCTGTATCCTCATCCCTAACCACCTGGTTACCATGATGCACCAGCTGTGATTATGAGCATCTTTGTAGTAGTTTTGGCGTAAACAACGGATTAAAAAAATTTATTTAACAAAAAATACCCAATTTTATTTTTAAATAACCCAGAGACTGTCTTGACCAATCTTTGAATAACAGAATAAAGGCTGATCATATCTGCTTGAATGTGATGTCGGTGGGTCAGTTATTTATTTTCCTTTAATGTGTTGTACTGTATCTTACCTGTTTGGATCTTTCTGTCAACAATAATATTTTTCTCCTCACACACTTCCTGCTTTAGCTGTTAAATTCGTATAAAAAGGGTATTGGGACGACATGCTACTTCAATGACTCACCACACAACACCCAGCACTCATTTAGGCGCATTGCAACTATCTGAGCAGAATAGCATGCGTTCTTTTTGTCCGTTCATACATGAAGTAAAGGCATTGACAAGCCAAACTATTCATTTTAACACTATTTTTGTGATTTATCTGTGTTATGGACAGGAACAATTGTAACATCATGCTCCTGGTTCACATTTTCCTCCCACTGCTATTCATTTCCCAGTATTTGACTGCACTGCAGGTATGCACAAACATTTTAAACCAGTGTCTGTAACAGTTTGTCTTTAACCGAGGGGTTGCTGCTAATGACAGTCCCCAGACCCAAATTTGAACAGTAATGAGTTGGGAGATGTATTTACTGTATTCTCAGGCACTGGTGTAGAGTGATAAGCCAAATGATTGTGATTTCTCCAGAGCAGTTGCACCACCATTCCTCCGACACATGCTGTCCTTTTCATATCAACTCTGGTGGTGGGCGAAAATGACTTCTTGAACATGCAGATATCTACAGTTCAAAACAGCTTGGACCCCAGAAAAATAGCTACTGTGTTTTGGATGGGACCATAACAAAATGTCATTTTTCATAAATCATAGCTTTGGTCTTTGCATTTTCCAATTTAATAGCCAAACTGTTTTTGCATGACAAAGATATCTCTTCTTTTTCCATTCGTTTTTTTGGATTAAGAAGATGAGGCCAGTTTAATCAGTACATTTAATGACTATATTTTCCTTTGTCTAGCCAAATGACTTTTTAAATTGTATTTATATCAAGGCAATATCAAAATTAAAACAAAGTGTTGATTATCCGTTCCTTGATTGTAATTGATGCTTAACTACAATCATCAAGTAATGTTTGTTCTTAGCTAATTTGTTTGAAAGATAGTTTTTCTTTAGACATTGTGCTATGTGTCACTGAAACATATATTTAAAGTGTACTACATATTCTGTTCACCTGTTTTTAAGTTCCCTATGGTTGGTACAGGATCAAATATAATGTATTTTAGCTATGAAGCCCCCCCCCCC